CCACCCCCAAACATACTCCTTTCAGTTCAGGAGAAATTGTTCTCTTCTGTTGGAGGTTTATTCTCTGCCCCTTTTCCAACCTGTTACTTTCTCCTCTGGGACTTCACATCACAATTCCAGCACCAGTGTTTCTACTTCTCCTTCCCTACAGCCAAAAACTCTGCTCAAGCCATCTCCCATCTTGAAAACAAAGAAATGAATTTAAAAAATTAAAACCCTCCCTCATATAAATCACACTGTTAAAAGTAGTTATCTCTGAGGGATTATAAAAATGTTTTATTTTACATCTCTATTTCTTTCTCTCTTTCTCTTTTTTTTTAAAGTGTACAGGTTTTATAAATGATGTCGGGAGGTATTTACAGCCTATTCTCTCACCTTCATTCTCAGCTACTCTTCAAAAGAATAGCTGACCGTAGCTCCACCTCTTCCCTTCCTTTTCATTTTCCTCCAGCCCATTGTTTCCCAGTCTCCACTGGAACTGCTCAATGAAAGGGCACCAGTGACCTCAGCACCAAACCAGGGAGCTGGCTTAGAGTTTCACCTTAACTGACCTCTTTGTGATACTCGACATTATTGACCACTCCCTTCTTTCAAATGGTTTTACTTTTATATATATATATATTTTTTAACTATACAATATTTGATATATAAAAGAATACGTATTGCTCCTCCTTCCAAGTAAGCAATATGTAATACTTCCTGCCCCAAGTAAGCAATATCCTGAATTGTGTGTTCATCATACCCTTGTTCTTATGTATAGATTAGCACATGTCTATTTCCGTCAACAGTATATTTAGTTTTGCCTCTTTTTGAACTTTATTGGTGGGGTGGGAGGAGGTATTATATCATTTGCGTTTACACCTTGTGAATATTTTACAAATATTCTTCTGTATTTACTCAATGTTTAATAATAAAAGTCATTAACAAAAACTGAGATCCTTAGGTGATTCTGAGATGGACTAGTGTTTGGAAATGATGTCTGTAGTTTCCACTTCCCTAACATCTGTCATACTTTTTCCGTATTCTCTGTCCCATTGCTATTCAAATTCCTGCCTTCCTTACTCATGTGGACCATTGCAGGTAATAGCCTTGCATCTATTCTTCATGCTGGCTGGGGCAATGCTCCTAATATGCACCTGCTTGCTTAAAATACCCCCAGTGACTCCTCATTACCTACAGATGAAGCCCAAACTCCAAAGCAGGACATATAAGGCCTGCATAGTCTGGCCCCTGCCTGCCTTTTTGACTTATCTTTTGCCATTCACTCCTCACACCTGAGCTGCCTTTCTTACAATTCTGTGAAGAGACTTGTCTCAGCCATCATACATGTTGTCCCCTCTACCTGGAATGCCTTTTCTCCTTCACCACTTGTCTGTCTGGTGAATGCCCACTAATTCATCTTTCAGGAGTGACCTAAAGGCTCTCCTCTGAACACTTATCCCCTCCCTCCTTCTTGTTATAACCTAGCTAGAGTATTTGATTAATTGGTTGTGTTTGTCTGCCTCTAATAGATTAATTTGAAGGCAAGGACAGGGTCTTAGTTTTTATCCTTAATACTTAAAAACACAAAACCTGGCGTGTAGCAAACATTGAGTTAACCATTGTTTAATGAATGCGTGAACATAATAAGTCCATGTTATCCCTAAGGAAAAGCCAAAGTCTTCCCAGCTGGGCTTTCCCCTCCCAACTCTTGTAATATTTTCCATCCTCCCCTCCACACCCCACCCCACTCCACCTGTGTCTGCACATGTCTGTATGTGCACACGTGCACAGACACACACACGCAGTAGGTTAACCAGGGCTAGCTCCTTCACCTCAGCCCCACCTACCTGTGCTCCTCAGGTCTTTCACAGAGACCATGAGCTCCCTGTCCCCTGGGAAGCCTTGGCAGACCAAGCTGAGCAGTGCGGGACTCATCTATCTGCACTTCGGGCACAAGCTCCTGGCCCAGTTGCTGGGCACTAGTGAAGAGGACAGCGTGGTGGGCACCCTCTATGACAAGGTGGGGACCTGAGGATAGAGATGCCCCACACATGCATCTCCACCAGGCCACTGGGAGTGGCACTCCTGCAGCACTCTAAACTGGGCCTCAGGTCAGGGTTTCTGGCCCATAGCAGGTCCAGTACTCACCCTCTCCCTGAGTCAGGCTCATCTCACAAGGGGATTGTGATATCTCCCCTGCCTACTTCCTGGGGTGGTTGTGAGAAATAGATGGCATAATATATGGGGAAGGGCTTTGAAAACCATAAGGCAGCGTTTCCCAGCCTTTTTCTTGACACACAGAAATGACTTTGGGTAAATAGAGAATACTGCTTATGTTTAGGAGCATCAGACTCAGAAGTTCTGGCTGCCCTGAGGTTGAGGGAGGATATCTTAGACACCAGTGTAATTTACAGGTGGTGCACAAGCTGGGAAGCTCACCTGGGAAGGGTTTGATTATGAAAATATCTTTAGGTTCTAACCAGTGTCCCCTGCAAGCATCTTCTTGCTTTTGGGCTAGTGGCCCTGGTACACATGTCAGATCAAAATGGTACTGATGACACCTACTTGACCCGACTGCTATGACATTCATGAGTCAAACCTTAGATCCACTCAGCTCTTTTTTGCATGTAGGCTCTTGAGTTCAATTCTCAGTCTTAGCTTGCCCATCTTCTGCCCCCTAACACATAGCATTAGTATGCTCCAAAAGTGAAGAAATATGAATAGGTTAAATTAGAAGTTTTAGAATACCAAGGTTTTAGTCTGCCTTGGTTAATTTTTCCTTCCATTGCTGAGAGGTTTCTAAGCAACTGACTAAATTAAATCAATGTTTTAACTGAGCATAAAACATTGGGGGTCCAGACCAAGAAGTGCTGGGCATAAAGGAGTTGATTTTTCAGCTTTCCCTGAGAGTAGCGCTTTTTCTACATACCACAGTATATTGATATGGAGGCCTATTTCGCAGGGAAGTTTTGCATAAAACAATGACATCCCATATTGTTTCTGCCCCAAAGCTCTTGAGGCATTTTCCTAGCATTTCTTCAGGCTCAGGAGATGCAGCAACTACTGATGTCATGTGGCACATTATGGGCTTCCCTGGAACTCATAACCCCACATACCAGCTCTTGATGTCTAGTCTAGTACTTTCTCTCTCACTTGACTTGTGTGTTTGGCTAAATCCTGCTGTACCTCGTTAACTGTGTCACTGAGTAGCTTACTCAGCCCACCTGAAGGTGTACCCTCCCTCAGCTTTAGGGAGCCACTTCCACCAACCCCTCTAGCAACTGGAAACCTTCCTTGTTCAGAAGTCAGCAGCCCCCACCCCACACATGCTGGCATTGGCTCGGGGTTTTCACAGTACAGTGAGCACTGGATTAGAAATCAGGTGATCTGAATCCAGTCCTAACCCTATTAGCTGTCTGACCTTGAGCAAGCCACTGAACTCCCCAGTTCTTTCCTCATTCAGTTAATGTTGAGAGATCCTTGCAGGGCTATTGTGAGGGTTAAATGGAAGAAACCTGTAAGACTTTACACAAATGGTAGGTATCCTCAAGAGCATTTCCCCTGCTGCTGCCTTAGATGTACGAGAACTTCGTGGAGGAGATTGACGCTGTGGACAATGGGATCTCCCAGTGGGAAGAGGGGGAGCCTAGATATGTACTGACCACTACACTGAGTGCCCGGGTTGCTCGACTTAATCCCACCTGGAACCAGCCCAACCAAGACACTGAGGTAAGGAGGGTCCCTGGGAGAGAGACCCTGAAACATGTAAGAACCTCAGGAGGAAATGAGAGTGTTTATTTCTCCTAGGCCCTAGCAAAGTTAAAAGTTTTTGGGCCAGCACCACGGTTCTGATTCTCCCCATTCCCAGGCAGGGTTCAAGTGTGCGATGGATCTGGTTCGAGAGGAGTTTCTGCAGAGACTAGACTTCTACCAACACAGCTGGCTACCGGCCCGTGCTTTGGTAGAAGAGGCCCTAGCCCAGCGATTCCAGGTACAAGCCTAAGAGGAGGCACTGTGGCTCAAAGATCAGTGACTGCTGGCAGGCTGCTGGTCAACAGGGGCTCCTGCTTCTACCGTAAACCTTCTAGCCACGTCCCACTTCCCTTTCAGGTGGACCCAAGTGGAGAGATAGTAGAATTGGCAAAAGGTGGATGCCCCTGGAAGGAACATCTCTACCACCTGGAATCTGAGCTGTCCCCCCCGGTGGTCACCTTTGTTATCTATACTGACCAAGGTGGACAGTGGCGGGTACAATGTGTGCCCAAGGAGCCCCACTCATTTCAAAGCAGGTCAGACCCCAGAGAACCACCTTGCAGACCTTCGGCACTATTAGAGGAGGCTGCCAACCTCTTCCTCTGCTCCTCTCTCTAGTTCCTCAGGCCTCCATTTGCTTCCACCAACTCCCTCTTTCTGCTTACATGTAGGCTGCCTCTGCCAGAGCCATGGCGGGGTCTTCGGGACAAAGCACTGGACCAGGTCAGTGGGATCCCTGGCTGCATCTTCGTCCATGCCAATGGCTTCATTGGTGGACACCAAACCCGAGAAGGTGCCTTGAGCATGGCCCGTGCTACCTTGGCGCAGCGACCAGTGCCTACGCCTCCCACAAATCCCTCGGTTCAATAAAACTTCTTCTATCTCATACTGACCCAGTCTTTGACTCATTATTGCCCTACACCATTCTGGGAACTTGCTCAAACTTGGGAAAAGTGAAACATCTATTATGTGCAAGACCCTAGGCTAGGTGTTTTTCTCGCACTAACTTCTCAGCTTTCCTTTTCAGAAAACCATCCAGTTCCTAGGATTAAATAACTTAACCAAATCCCCAAGAAGTAGCTAAAAAGTGACAGAGCAGCATCTTTTTTTTTTTTGGGTGGCTGGCTGGTATGGGGATCCAAACCCATGACCTCGGTGTTATCAGGCTGTGCTCTAACCAACTGAGCAGGATCTTAACCCAAAGTTCATGGTTTTTTTCCCCCCACTATACCCCAATGCAATTCCCTGGAAGTGACAGAGTCTGGTAATTGAGTGGAAAACAAACTTTATTATTAGAGGTGGGAGTGAGGGGAGTGGGGATGAGCAGGTGGTGGCCCTGGGAGAGGGTCCCAAGGGGCAGAGATAGGGGATGTTTCAGTAAATAGGGGCAGGTCGTGAATAGAACCTCCACCCCCAGCTGGAGGCTCTTGGGCCCGTCCAAGCACAGGGCTAAAACGTGGAAACTGGGCATTGACAAAGTACAGAGGGATGTGGGCAATTCGGCCTGTGGACCAGCACTGCAGAGAGGGGAAAGAAAATCATCAGGGCCTGGTCCCAAAGAAGGCCACATGGCAGAGCCACACAGCAACCAAGGCTCTCAGCTTCTCCACCCCACCCTGGAAACCCCCAGCAGCCTGGCCTACTCACCACACTGAGCAGAGCTCCGTTACTGAAGGAAGGGTGGAAAGTGATGAGCTGGGCCTGGGCTCCTGGCTCCCCCTGGATGATGCCACTGGGGGAAGAAGAAAAAGTGATCAAGCAACTGGAGGCAGAAGGGAGGTGCATGCTGTGGTTTTGGTGCCAGAAGGCTGGTGAGAGCCCAGACCTAAGGGCCTGCCCAGCACTTACCAGGGGAGTAGCTCAAACACAGGGTTGTTTCTAGTGCGAAAAAGGAGGATGACTGGTTTACCTTCCTTTACCCGTGGATTTCCTATAAGAAATGGACCCAGGAATAAGGAGGAATTCTGGAGGCAGAATCCCAGGACAGGGGTGGAGAATTGAAGGCCAGGGTACAGACACTCAATGGAGAAGGTGACTGTGGCCTGACAAAGCACTTGCTCGTCTCCCTTTTTTTTGTGGGGGGCAGCTGGCTGGTATTGGAGGGAGGGTGTCTTACCTTTCATGAGTACAGCCAGACGCTCCCCGCTGGGGTCCCAGACCATGGAATGGGCCTCTCCCCCAAGCCTATAGGTCAGGACCGGAGGTTAGAAGAGCTCAGTGTGGTCCCTCCCACCTTCCTTTCAACGCCCCTCCTTCACCTACTCAGCTCACCTCTCCTCACCATCTGGCGTCTGTATTGTTGTCTCAGAGAGATCTGCCACAATCGTTGCTGACTTTGCACCTCCAACGCGCCCCTTTCCCTCACCTGTGGATAAGAGCAGAGGTCCGTACCTGCAGGAAACAGGACTCTCACTGTTTCCCCTGCCAGCTCATTACGGGCATCAACACCTCTGAAGTCTAAGCTTTTCAATCCTTCCCTTTATCCCTCAGAGTAGCATCTTACAGAGGTTGCTGCCTCTCTCTGACCACCCCGGATATTTTGCATCCTGAAGTATTGCCCTAACTCACCACAACGTTCTGGGAATGACAAGGAGTAAATCAGTGGTTCCCCCAATACAGTGAATAGTAGTCGGTTTCCATCTGGGCTCCAGCAGCCAGTCTGGGGTCAGGGAGCAAAAGACAGGGGAAGGTCTATAAGGGGAACACACGAGGGAAAGAAGTAGAGGAAGTTGGGAGCCAGGCTTGGGGGAGCAGGGATCCATTGGAATCACCTCCTCCCCAGCTTCTGTGAATCACAGTCCTCTCTTACCTGACAACGCCCTGACAAAGTAGGCCATCTCTCACAAGTCCACATCTGGGCCTCCCAAACTCTAAACCAGAGAAAGGCAAATTACCACTCAGGACCTCTAGGTTCTAAAACCTGGACCTCCCTCTCTCTGGTAGTCCCAAGGTCAGACTCCAGGAGCCAAGTGCCTTTCTCTAGGTCCTTGACCTCCTTCTACCTTCTCTCTCTCACCGAAAGACAGCTGAAGGAGTGGTAGCCAAGACTTTGCTGCCATCTGGGGACCAGAGCAGGTTGGTAACCCCACCTCCTCGAAACCAGGGAAGGGGGACACAGGTCTCTGTTGACACATCCCATACCTAGGAGAATGGAGGCAGGAGAATGAGACAGAGAAAACTCAAGCACCTTATCTCACAGTGGGGTGCCCTCTTTAAGGTATAAAGAACCAGAAAGGGGAGGAAGCAGGAAAGGAACTCTTAAACATAAGGGCATAGGTTTATGTTTACAATTATAGCAGGCAGAATTTTAAATCTGAGGAGTCTGGATGGTGAAGCTCCTTCTCTGTATAAGCCTAACACTGAATAAATGATTACCTCTCTCTTTCCCCCATTTTCCACTACCAGGCAAAGAATGTTCTTTCCTCAAGACTGAGGGGTGGCTTCCGATTAAGATGGTGGAATAGATGGTCCCCAGCGTCACTCTCTCCCACAAATCAACCAACTCACAACTATTAAAAAGCAACAACAGGGCCGGCCCGTGGCTCACTCAGGAGACTGCAGCGCTGGGAGCGCAGCGGTGCTTAGGGCGCCGAGGCCGCGGGTTGGGATCCTATATAGGGATGGCCGGTGCGCTCACTGGCTGAGCGCGGTGCAGGCAACACCAAACCAAGGGTTGCGATCCCCTTACCAGTCACAAAAAAAAAAAAAAAAAAAAAAAATCATCAAAAATGAATATTCCTTAACAGAAGTGTCCAGGGCCATTTTCATGGGTGAAGGTAGGGGATTGGAATATCATCAAAGTTTGAGTTTCAGACACTTTCTTGAAAGAAAAGGAGCAGATCTTCTAGTCAAGATTGCAGAATAGATAGTCCCCAGTATCACTCTCTCCCACAAATCAACCAATCTACAACTATTTAAAAGCAATGACAGCCAAGCTGGGGCCACTAGAGCTCAGGGGAAGAGGAGGAGAGACCTATGGAGTACATGAAGGTGGGAGAAGCCACGATGAGAGAAAGAAAAGACTGTTCCAACTGTTTTGAACCCCGGCTGCTTCAAGGCTGGAGCTGCTGAGCACACAGAGGAGGAGCTGGCAGAAGCCACAGCTGTGCCCTTCAGATGAAGTTGCTTGGAAGCAGCAGGGCAGAAGAGGGCCTTGGTGGCCCCCAGGCCAGCAAGACCACTAATAAGGTTCCCATGGACCCACATAGGAGAGAGGAGACACAACAAATGAAAAACTGGAGCCACTCAGAGGCCAGTGAGTCATCACAAGGGACTGGAGCATGGCCTGTCCCATAGGAAGTGCTTGGAGCACAGGTGATGGAGGAGAAGGGCCAACCAAGGACAGCTGATCTGTCCCCCAATCAGCACAGGATCATTCAGAGGAGACTGGTTGGGAATATAGAATTGCATGGGGTACAGTTTGATGAAAAGACTCAGGCCCAGACCAGAGTGTCTACACAACCCAGGTGCACCAGATCTAACTAGACCCGGAAGTACCTATAAAGTCAGCCATTAAAACCTGAGCTGCACAAAAAGCCTTCCCTAGGGAATCAGCAG